AAGAGACTCTCAGATTTGCCTGCCTGAGCTGGCTTTAAACTGTGGTCCACAAATCTCAGCCTGCTAAGTAGGATTAAAGGCGTGAGCCACCAGCGCCTGGCTTCCAAAGAATACCTTTTTTTTTTTTTTGGTCCCGTCGTGGGGCCTGAACTCTAGGCCTGGGCGCTGTCCCTCAGCTCTTCAGCTCAAGGCTAGCGCTCTACCACTTGAGCCACAGTGCCACTTCCAGCTTTTTTTCCCCCTGCTTATGTGGTGCTGAGGAATCGAACCCAGGGCCTCATGCATGCAAGGCAAGCGCTCTACCACTGAGCCACCTTCCCAGCCCCCAAAGAATACCTTTAAAAAGAGAATAGCTAGTCCAGAGCAGGTGGCTCACGCCTGTAATCCTAGCTATTCAGGAAGCTGAGATCTGAGGATTGTGGTTCAAAGCCAGCCTGGGCAGGAAAGTCCATGAGACTCTTATCTTCAACAAACCACCAGAAAACTGGAAGTGGTGCTATGGCTGAAGTGGTAGAGCGCTCTCCTTGAGCTGAAGAGCTGAGGGACAGCGCCCAGGCCCAGAGTACAAGCCCCGTGACCACCAACAACAACAAAAATGAGGATAGCTAGGCACAATGGTTCACACCTGTAATCTCAGCTACTCCAGGGGTCTAGCGAGGGATCTTTGTTATAATTTCAGAGGAAAAACTACAGAGGACTAGGTGTGGTGGTGCATTCCTGTAATACCAACTATTCGGAGGAAGAAGCAAGAGGAGGATCACCCAAGTTTGAGGCTAGCCTGAGCAAAGGTAGCAAAAGGAAAGGGAAAGGCTGGGGGCGTAGCTCGGGTGGCAGCGCAAGTACTGAGCGCCAGCGCTGAAGAAGCATTTGAGGTGCTGGGGTGCACCCAGGGGAGGCATCCCAATACTAAAGAAAAAAAAAAAAAAGCTGGGGAAAATGATGTTTTTTTTCTCTTTCTTGTCCAGGCCTGTGTGCAGTCGCTGCGCTTCTTTGTGCTCAAGGCTAGTGCTCTACCACTTGAGCTACAGCACTACTTCTGGATTTTCTGAGTAGTTTATTGGAGATAAGAGTCTCACAGACTTTCCTGCCCAGGCTGGCTTTGAACTGTGATCCTCAGTGTTAGAGAAATGAGCTCCCTTCCCATAGCTTAGCCCACTCCTTCCCTTCTCTACAGCTTAGCATGCACGAGGTCTATGCAGTAAAGGCCGTAAATAATCAACTTCCAGCCCCCTTTCCCTTGGGATGGCACTTCTCTGGGGCAGCTACCACCATAGAAGGCAACAAGAGCCCCTTAGAGTGACCTTCAGCTCTGGGCAGTGCAGGAGCCTTATCTACTATATGGACAGCAGCCATAAACCCTAGTCCATCATGATGAAGCCCTGGGCCCTCACGTACACACCAGGGTCTCCGCCTCCTAGCCCTTCTAGCCCCTCCTAAACCTCCTAGATTATATAGGTCACCCCAGACAAGAGCCGGGGCTTCTCGCTTCTCCCTTGTGAAAAGGAGTCTTGCCGGCCCCTTTCCCAGCAATACACCTTTCTTTGTTGTCTGTACCTGGATGTCTGTGTGGTTCTCTGACAAAGTCTAATTAATCTTTCATTTAATCTTTCACTCAGGTCTCAGCCTCCTGAGTAGCTATAATTATAGGTGTGAGCCACCAGTGTCTGGTTTACGTGTGTGTGTGTGTGTGTGTGTGTGTGTGTGTGTGTGTGTGTATTTGTCAGTCATGGGGCTTGAACTCTGGGCCTGGGCACTGTCCCTCAGCTCTTCAGGTCAAGGCTAGCGCTCTACCACTTGAGCCACAGCACCACTTGCGGCTTTTTTTTGCTTATGTGGTGCTGAGGAATCGAACCCAGGGCCTTGTGTATGCAAGGCAAGCGCTCTACCACTGAGCCACCTTCCCAGCCCTGGAGACCAAGTTTTAAACTGAAATCTTGTTTATCTGTCTTGGGGAAGGCACAGAAGTGGAGGGACAAAGGGTAAAGCAACGTAGTAGTGGTACTCACTAGACATTACGTTGAAAATGAACTATACAACTTGTGGGTAGGGATGGGAGGGGAAAACTTGGAGAAATCAATGGAAGGGGTGACATTGACCAGAAAGAAATGTGCTCCTATCACCTTTATAATAACAATTAAAAGAATTTTTAGGGGCTGGGAAGGTGGCTCAGTGGTAGAGCCCTTGCCTTGCATGCCTGAGGCCCTGGGTTCGATTCCTCAGCACCACATAAGCAGAAAAAGCTGGAAGTGGTGCTGTGGCTCAAGTGGTAGAGTGCTTGCCTTGAGCTGAAGAGCTGAGGAACAGCGCCCAGGCCCACAGTTCAGGTCCCATGACCGACAAAAAAAAAAAAAAAAGTCTCAGGCTTTTCTACCTAGGCTGCCTTTGAACCTCCATCCTCAGATCTCAGCCTCCTGAGTAGCTAGAATTATAGGCATGAGCCACAGGCACCTGGTTGGTCACTGTGGGTTCTTTAGCAGTGTCATGACTCTACACACCAGGCTGGAAATGCTCTAGCCAGTTCTACAGACATAAAACGAGGTGGTAACCAAGGCAGGATGGATGTCCTGTGAGTCTGGATGGAAGGCAGCCAGGAAAGCAAAGCGCTAAGTGCTTTCCATCCCAGCAGAGGCCCTGAGCAGGTCGATCCGCTGCCCACAGGTGGGAGGCCATCGGCTAGCAGCTCCCTGTCCTTGCTGCAGGCCATGGGAGTTCCCTGCTCCTCCCGGGTCCCTGCCCCTGCTGCCACCACGCCCTGCCCAGGCATGCCACCTGACCCGCAGAAGCCCGGTCAGCCACACGAGTACCAGGAGGGGGAGACCGCACGAGGCCCAGGCGCTCCTGTCCATGCGTCTCACAAGGCGTGGCCCACACCCCAACTCACCTGTGTGCAATCTGCTGCGTCACGCTCCGGCTGTGTGTCCTTCCTGGGAACAGAGGCCTCCCCTATCAGAGCACGGTGGGTGAGAAGCGAATCACGGGCGGAGGGCGTGAGCCAGGGTGTCCTAAAGCCAGCCGGGGACTCGCGTGGTGGGTGTGGATGATTTATTACCCTGCGTGGACACCTCTGCCTTTCAACTTCACTACTTTGCTTTTTTGTGTGTGCCATTACTGGAGCTTGAACTCAGGGCCTAGGCTTTGTCCCTGAGCCTTTTTTTTTTTTTTTTTAGTTTTTCTCAAGACTGGCTTTCTACCACTTGAGTCACACCTCTACTTCCGGCTTTTTGGGTGGTTAATTGAAGAGTCTCATGGACTTTGCTGCCTGGGCTAGATTCTAACCTCAATCTTCAGATCTCAGCCTCCTGAGTAACTAGGATTACAGGTATGAGACACTGGCACCTGGCCTCATGATATTTCAAACCGTGGCTAAAAATACCTAAGACTTAGGCTACTCTAACCATTTTGAGGGGTGCAGGGCAGGGCTGGAAATGTGGTTGGTGGTAGAGTTCCTGCCTAGCAAGCATGATAGGAGTTTAATTTTTTTAATCAATAAAATGGTTAATTATATGAATTTTATATGAATTTTACCTTCCTGAAACTGTTGATACTAGGTCCTGAGTTCAATCCCCACTCAACTCTCCAAAAAAAAAAAAAAAGTTTTGACTCTTCAAATTAAAAATAACGTGCTGGGCTGGGAAGGTAGCTCAGTGGTAGAGTGCTTGCCTCCCATGCACGAGGCCCTGGGTTCGATTCCTCAGCACCACATAAGCTGAGAAAGCCAGAAGTGGCGCTGTGGCTCAAGTGGTAGAGCACTCGCCTTGAGCTGAAGAGCTGAGGGACAGCGCCCAGGCCCACGACCGACAAAAAAAACAAACCATGTGCTAACCATTCTATGTAACTCATTACCAGTGAGGGTTACAGGCAGATGCTTCAACTGATTCCAGGTGGCCCAAGGTAGCTGAGCAAGCAATGTGGCTCATACTTGTCATTGCTGACAGGACCTAGAGATCTGTAACCTAATTCTCTCTTTCCCTGAGCTTTGTTAGGCCAATTCAGAAACGGGCTGTGGTGACCACATTTGCCAGCAGAGGAGGGCGGAGCTGTCACCCCCCCCCCCAGGGCAGGGCAGCCATGGCTGGCTCGGGCCAGTCGGAGCTGCTTCACTCCCAGCCCACATCCACAAGCAAGCAGTCACGTCACCGAACACAGAGAAGAAAAAGAACTTATTTTAAAACAGCCAGGCCTGGGCTCCCATCCACCTAGAAGCAGGGTCATCTGCACAGCCACTGTGCAGGGTAAAACTTCACACAACATCCGTCCAAGTACAAGTCGTAAGAGCAGCCTTTGTCGGCGTGGACACAGGGAGGCTTGTGTCTGCACCCTTGGCCTGGCCCACAGGAGCTTTATTTAACACAAACAACAACAACAGCAACAAAAAACCCCAACAACACAGTACAGTGCACCCTTCCGAAGCACGCGGTGGCAGGACGGGGCAGGAGACCCGATCATGTGACGGGTCGTCAGCGGCGCGTGAGGAAGGCAGTGGAGGGCGCGTGGCCGCTGCTAGCACCAGCAAGGCTGAGGCCTCACCTGAGTGACCAGGGACACAAGCAGAAGTTACAAAGGCAGGTAAACATTAAAGCCCGGAGCCGGGCAGAAGGGACGGAAGCCAGGTGGTCCTGTCCGGCTCTCTCCAGGACACGGAGGGTGTGTGAGTCCTCCTTTAGCCTTGAACTTGACCCTCAATCAGAGGCCTGAATACAGGCCCCTCCCTGGCCCCAGGGGCCCCAGCCTGTAATAGGAGGTGAGTGGCAGTCACAAACAGCCCAGGGCAACCTGGGGGTTACAGAAGCGTGCAGCCCAGGCCAGGCGCCAGACGCTCATACCTGCCACCCTAGCTACTCAGAAGGCTGAGATCTGAAGACCGAATTTCCAAGCCAGTCCAGGCAGAAAAGTCCATGAGCCACCAGACTCTTATCTCCAACTGACCAGCCAAAAGCCAGAATTGAAAGAGTGGCTTAAGTGGGAGAGCACCAACCTTGAGCAAAAAAAGCCAATAGCACAAGACCTTGAGCTCAAGTCCCAGTATGGGCAATAATAATAACAATAATAATAATAACAACAACAACAACGTTGGCAGCCTAGCAAGGGGCATCGGCAAGTAGAATGGAAACCTGGGCCCCATTCCCCTCTACAGGCTTTGTGAGCACAGCCAGGCTGGGGCCCAGGTCCCAGGCCCCGGCCCAGGGCTGGCTGCCAGGCAGCCGGGGGCTCTGGTGCCCAATCGTGGTTCATTCTAATGTCTGAAGTCTTGACTCACACGCAGCTCCTTTACTCCGTTGTAGTAAGCATGTGTTCCTGGCTAGGGTCCCCCATGGAGGCTGTTTCTTGTGAAAATGCCAACTGTCAGGGAAGCAAGGTTCTCTAAATGCTGGGGATCATGAAGAAATGTTTCCAGAGGAAGTCCATGTGTGAGCACGGTAGCCCTGCTCTCGACGTGGCGAGTTCTTTCCCGGGGACGCTTTGCTTTTGAGTCAGGAATCCAGCACGGATTTGGGTGGAATCCAGAGCCATTTTACAAGGATCAGGAAATCATTTCAGTTTTGCAGAGTGGCAGAATCTGGTGGGAAGCCGACTATGGGGGCGGGCCCCTCCCACGGGACATTTTTCCATCCTTAGCTCTGGTGATCTAACAGAAAATGGGTCTTCTGGAATGAGGAAAGTTCTGGTGGATGAGCTGCAGAATAAAGACATAGAGTCTCTTTTGTATCTCTTTTCTTTAAAATTTAGATTATTGGACTGGGGAAGCGGAGGCCTGGCTCAAATGGTGGAGCACCAGCCTAGCGAGTTTAAGACTCAGATTTCAAAACCTAGTACCACCACCACCAAAAAAAAAAAAGAGAATAAATGACCATCCCAGGATCCAGGTCGCTATGTCCTGCAAGCAAGCCCCTTTTACTGGGACTGGAATTCCGGGCCTTGTGCTCTAAGTCGGTTTTCTGGCTTCTGGCTGGTGCTCTACCACTTGGGCCATGCTTGCCATTACAGCTTTTTGCTGGCTAACTCACCTCGATTCTCAGATCTCAGCCTCCTGACTGGCTGGGGCACCACGGGGAGGACGGTTCAGGGGTGGGCGGACCCCTGATGGGCTCCGGGCTTGGGGGGCTCGGGTGCCCCAGGAGGGGGGGCCTGGCCCTCGGCACGGCAGGGGCAGCTGCAGAGGGAGACAAGGCGCGAGCGCACGGCCTGGGTGCAGAGGACAAACATGATGCAATTGGCTCCTCCCTGGAAGGTGTTCCCGATGCCCTGTGGGGCGCAGAGGAAAAGGGTGAGCATAGGGTTGGGCAGTCACACAGGGGACCCCAGAGCCTAACCCTGCTCCCCCAACCACATGACTTGCAGCTGCATTCTAGGCTAGCCTGAACTGACTGCCTGGCTCAGACCCATGTGGGGGCCTAGGGTAGGGAGGACCCAGGATCAGTCAGTTCTGCAGGTGGGGAGGATATAGGATCAGTCAATTCTGCAGGTGGGGAGGATATAGGATCAGTCAGTTCTGCAGGTGGGGAGGATATAGGATCAGTCAGTTCTGTAGGTGGGAAGGACCCAGGATCAGTCAATTCTGCGGGTGGGAAGGATCCTGGGATCAGCCAACTCTATCGGTGCTCTAGGTTGTTGGAAAACGATCATGCATATACTTCCCTGTTCCCTCTTCAAAGCCCCAGTCTGCCGGGGAAGGGAGGTGGCACTGGGGCTGGGATCTGGCATGCATGGCGGGGGTAGGGGTGGCATACGTGTAGAACAACCAGCACGGGCGTCTGCACCGCCGGGGAGCCGCAGAGGGTCAGGACGAAGCGCACGGTGCTCCACACCCGGAGGCAGATGAAGATGAACGGGATGAGGATCAGCTTCTTGTCAGCCACGGAAGCCATGCTGCGCAGGTGCAGGTGGGGGCCCTCGCAGATGGGGCGGTACTCGGAGAGCGCTTCATGCTGCGGGACGCGGGGCGGGCCTGAGCCACGGGGTCTCCCCCCCCCCCCCCGCCTCCCGGGGAAGCCCGGGGTGCCATCACCAGGGCCTCTTCCACCCGGCCATGGCCGAGCTGATGCTTCTGGAAGCCCGGCTCCCACAACCCATCGCCTCAAAGACATCGTAGGTGTCTCTTGTCCGAGATGCGAGGCTTGCTCTCAACGCCCGGACCTACCGGCAGGCTGCCTCATCTCAACCAATGCAAATAAATGGCGTCTGCCCAGGGGCCTGGGCCAGACCCTGGGCTTCATCGCCAACCCTTGGTCCCCATGCTCCACATCGGGGCTGCAGACAAACCTGGGGTTGGGCCCCACCGGCACCTGGTGGCTTGGCGGAGTCACCCTGCGCCGAGGGCAGGGGCACAGCCCCGGAGGCGGCTGTGTGTGACGCGTGCTCCCAGGTGCTGTCTGCAGTCACCTGTAACCCGTAGCACGTCCCCAGCGACGGCCACCCACCAGCAACTTGCTTTCTGGAGAAACCTCCAGAACCCTTCCCCAAACAAGGACGCAGGCCATACTTTGACCAGGATGACTTAATACTTACCTGTTCCTTTCTCCTGCACCCCTCGTTCTTTGTCTATAAAATCTAAAGCTCAAGCTGGGCACCAGTGGCTCACACCTGTAATCCTAGCTACTCAGGAGGCTGAGATGTGAGGATTGCAGTTCAAAGCCAGCCTGGGCAGGAAAATCCATGACTCTTATCTCCAATAAACCACCAGAAAACTGGAAGTGGCGCTGTGGCTCAAGTGGTAGAGCGCTTGCCTTGAGCTGAAGAGCTGAGGGACAGTGCCCAGGCCCAGAGTTCAAGCCCCATGACCAACCCCCCCCCCCCCCAAAAAAAAAAAAAACTAAAGCTCAAGTCTGTACCCTCTGAAGTGGAAGATGGACTAAAATGCTGAGTTCCCATGTAGTAAACCTCCTTTCTCTGCCCTTCACCATGTCTCTCTCTTTGTGTACAGTGACCAGAGGCCAGAATGGACATGTCAGACTCCTAGAGTTTGGGTCAGGGGTCTAAAAACTGGTTAACTTGGGCGCTGAGGGCCCTTGCCTATAATCATAGCTACTCAGAAGGCTGCCACCTGAGCATCCCGGTTAGACGCCAGCCAGCCTAGCAGGAATGTCTGACACTCTTTTGTGTGTATGTGTGTGTGTGTGTGTGTGTGTGTGTGTATATGCCAGTCCTGGGGCTTGAACTCAGGGCCTGGGCACTGTCCCTGTGCTCTTCAGCTCAAGGCAAGTGCTCTACTGCTTAAACCACAGCACCACTTCCAGTTTTCTGGTGGTAAATTGGATAAGAGTCTCACCGACCTTTCTGTCCAGGCTAGCTTTGGACCATGATCCTCAGATCTCAGCCTCCTGAGTAGCTAGGATTATAGGTGTGAGCCACCGGTGCCCAGCCAAACCGAGGCTCTTATCTCCATTAACCAGCAAGAAGCCAAAAGTGGAGCTGTGGCTCAAGTGGTAGAACACCAGTTTGGAATGAGAAATAGCACCCAGGCCCTGAGTTCAAGCCCAGTACCAGCACACCAAAAAAATGAACAAACTTCCAAAGGGGTGACATTGTCCAAAGAGGACTGCACTCATTACCTGACATATGTAACTGCCTATCACCTTTATAATAACAATAAAAAACAAAACAAAAAAACTTTCTGGCCACCCAAGGTAACTGAGTTCTGTACACCACTGATTATAGTCCCTTTACCCTCCCTTCTTGGGGTCTATCTAACCCCTTTTAACTTGATCGAAACGCCTAAGTGGAAGCAACTACCACAGATGTCCACTCGGGGGCAGCAGAGGGCCGTGGTCCAGAACCTGGGGCTCTGCCACAGGAGCACAGAATGCGGGGCAGGCCGTTTCCTGCTCATGGACCAGGGGAGTCATACCAGGACGGCTCCTGAACGGGCGTGGACTTAGCCAGCGAGTCCACCCACCACCCCGGACTGCAGTGTGCACGCATGCTGGGCGCCCAGCACGCCCAGGGCCCCTCTGGCCTGGGCCCCGGGGGACGGCGTGGCGGGCACCCACCGCTCTGTTGATGTGCTTCCTGACCAGGAGGTACAGCAGAGGCAGCAGCACGTAGGCCAGCATCTCCCACAGCTTCCCGGTGAGCAGCATCCACAGCAGGCGGTCCTCGGCCTCCAGATCGATCCAGCACCAACCCACAGAGGTGTCCGAGGCATCGTAGCCAATCTTCTTCAGGGCCACCGCGGTCGCCGTGATGACCAGAGGGACGCCCCAGCTGATGGGCACCAGGGAAGGAAGAAGGTCAGCATATGCAAAAATGACCGGTCGAGCTTGTTGGAGGTGACACACACACACACACACAGAGCCAAGGCCCGGATCAGCGTCCGCAGGAAGTGAGGGCGGGTGCTTCCGGGAGCCTGTGCCTGTCTGGAGTCTGGCACTGGACGGGCGCGGCCAGCAGGAGCTGGCTCCCACACACCCTGCTTCAGCCTGTGCCCAGAGACCGGCCTGGGTGCCAACCTGCGCATGCCAGCTGTGTGTCTGGGCCACGCATGCGTGCTGCCAGCCAGGCACGGGCAGAGATGCGAGTGGGGGGGCTTGGGCTCTCAGGGGCCTGGGCGTAGGAGGGCCTGTCCCCCGCCTCGCCCTAAGGGAGGGTACCCCAGAAAGAGTCCAAAGCACCAGATCAGGCAGAGGTCCTGCTAAGGGCAGTGCACCTGAGCAACAGCACTGCATTAAGGCCCCAGGCTCTAGACTCCTGACAAAGCAGCTTTGTGGGGCATCTGGAAGCTTCTCTGAGGCCACACATAGGGCAAGTAAGAGTTTGGCCTTTGGTTTAATAAACGGGGGCCCAGTTCTGTTCTGCTCCCCATAGACAAGTTATTTGACCTCCCTGTGCCAGTCCTGGGGCTTGAACTCAGGGCCTGGGCACTGTCCCTGAGCTCTTTCACTCAAGGCTGGCGCTCTACCACTTAAGCTATAGCACCACGTCCAGCTTTTTCTGTGTATGTGTGTGGTACTGAGGAATGGAACCCAGGGCTTCACGCATACTAGACAAGTACTCTATCACTAGGCCACCTTCCCAGCCCTGCCAATGTTCTCTTGTGTCTGTGCATGTGTGCTAGTACTTGTGCTCGAACTTGGCCTCGGCTCTTGCTTGGCTTTTTGGCTCAAGGCCAGCGCTCTACCACTCGAGCCACAGCTCCGCTGGTGTCTTTTTGCTGGTTAATTGGAGTCTCGTGGATTTTGCCTGCCTAGGCTGGCTTCTGACGGTGATCCTTGATCACAGCCTCCTGGGTAGCTGGGACTACAGGCGTGAGCTGCTGTACCTGGCTGCCAATGATCTTGCAGAGTGGGCACGGCGGTGGTGCTGTGTGGGCACAAGCAGCGAGTCTGCCCGCGGTGCACAGGCCCGGGCAGGTGCGCGCATCTGTGGCGCCAGGACCATGTTTAAAGCCGGGCGTGGCGGTGGCAGCGGCAAATCATCATTGCGCCATCAGCAAAGCTGCCAGATGGGCCAGGTGAGTCTGGTTTGAAAACTATGCAGAGCTATCATGTGGTAAATTAATATGTATTCGTGTCAAGCTCCTCTGGCATTAAAAAAAAAAGGCTATCATTTAAACGCTCAGGACACCGCAGGATTTCAGAACCAGGCATGCTCTGGGTGTGGACAGGTCACATGGGCCATGGCTCTAATCTCCAGCCTGGCACAGTGTTCCAAATCCACTGTAGACACGAACCCTAAGTCAGACAGTATGGAGGAGGGGCCCTGTGCTAAACCCCAATCTTTGTGTGTGTATGTGTGTGTGTGTGTGTGGCAGTACTGGGCTTTGAACTCCAGGCCCCATGCATACTCTGGGCAGGCACTCTACCACGTCAGCCACAACCCCAGTTCTTATTTTTCCACTAGGGTCTTGCCCCAGGGCCCGGCTTGGACCACATCCTCCCAAATAGCTGGGAGCCATTTTTTGTTGAGATGGGGGAATCTCAGTAACTTCCTGTCCAGGCTGGCCTCGAACCTCCCAATCTCTACCTCTTCAGTAGCTGAGAACAGGCATGCCCGTCCCTTAAAACTCTCATCTTTAAGCCGGTGGCTCACGCCTGTAATCCTAGCTACTCAGGAGGCTGAGATCTGAGGATCACAGATCAAAGCCAGCTTGGGCAAGAAAGTCTGTGAGACTCTTTTCTCCAATAAACCACTCGAAAACTGGAAGTGGTGCTGTATCTCAAGTGGTAGAGTGCTTGCCTTGAGCTGAAGAGCTGAGGGACAGCGCCCAGGCCCAGAGTTCAAGCCCCACAACTGACAAAAAAAAAAAAAAAAAAAAACCTTTACTCTTTAGGTTGCAGGGTGTGCTCCTCTCCACTCCTCTGAGGAGTTTGGAGGGAGCTGAGGCAGCTACGCTTCCCTTACAGAGGCTGGGCGCCTGCGGGGTCTCAACCCAGGGGCCACTGGCAAGACAAGCAGGCCGCGAGGCCCCTGTTTGCCAGCCCTGGGTCCTGACCAGCCTCACCCGGCTGCAGTGGCAGACCCGCCCTCTGAGCAGTTGGCTTTGTAGATCTCAGCTATGGGAGGTTTCGGGGCGTGCACCCCACGAGTGGGAGCAGAAACTGTGGGGCTGCAGCGCTGGGAAGGCAGCTCAGGACCTGGGGGCTGGGGGGGGGCAGCTCAGGACCTGGGGGCTGGGGGGGCAGCTCAGGACCTGGGGGCTGGGGGGGGCTGGGGGGGCGCACAAGCTGCCTCCCAGGACTGACTTGTGAATACAGATGGTGATGTGAGATAATGCAGATGTGAACACGCATGCATGCGCGTGCAGGTGTGCACAGAAATCAGTCACACATTTCACATTATCAAGGTGACACAGTGGGGGAGGGGGGCTGAGGGGTGTCATACCCCTAATCCTAGCTGCTCAGGAGGCTGAAATCTGAGGATCAGGATTCAGAGCCAGCACAGGCAAGCACGTCTCGGAGACTCTTATCGCCAATAAATCGCCAAAAAGCCAGAAGGGGAGCTGTGTGTGGCTCAAGTTGTAAAGCACTAGCCTTGAGCAAAACTCAAATAAATAAATAAAGCTCAGGGACAGTGCCCAAGCCCTGAGTTCAAGGCCCAGGACCAGCACCAAAACAAAAACATCAAGGAGGTTAGAGTACCCAACCTGTAACTAATAATAAAATAATTTAATCTTGCTTTTGTTCAACTCCCTATTGCCAACTGATTTTCCCAGAATGCTTTTGGTATTTTTTTTTCTGGTGCTGGGTTTGAACTCAGGGCTCCCTTGCTCAGCTGGTGCTCTGCCCCCTGAGCCACTTCCTCAGCCCAGCTTTTTGCTAGGAAGATGGACTTCCATGGACTTTTCTGCCTAGGCTGGGTTTGAACCATGATCCTCCAGATCTTAGCCTTCTGAGTAGCTAGGATTACAGGTGTGAGCTACCTGGGCTGGGATGCTTTGGTGATTTTTGCTGATGTGGACAGCAAAGGTGAGCAATTCCACTACAGACACAGACGCGAACTTTGCTGCCCAGTGACGCAGCACCCTCTTTGCTGAGTGAGGAAGAAGTCTGTCCGCATTGGAAGAGTGTTTCGTCGTCTCTCCTGCCCTTGATACTGCCTCTGCCTGCCTCCCACGAAGCACTCGCTTCCTGTCTGCCCTGGCAGAGGCCATCTCTGCTTCAGAATCAGATGTAGAAACTAAGGCTGCATCGTTAGTGTGGGCTCTGCACTTGTGCTTAGCTTTGGGTTTTCTTTTTTCTTTTTGCCAGTCCTGGGGCTTGAACTCAGGGCCTGGACACTGTCCCTGAGCTTCTTTTCCTCAAGACTAGCACTCTACCACTTGAGCCACAGCACCCTTTCCATTTTTTCGGTATGTGTGGTACTGAGGAATGGAACCCAGGGCTTCATGCATGCTAGGCAAGCGCTCTACCTCTGAGCCACCTTCCCAGCCCCGGGCTTTGGTTTTTCTCAGGCAAGGTAAGGTCTCACCCAGGCTAGTAACCCAGGCTAGCCTTGAACTCTGAAGCCTCCTGCCTCAGCCTCCCTAGCTATAAACCTGGATCCATCACTTTCTAAGTCTAGATTAGAGCGACCAGCAAGCTATGGCCTTCAGGCCAAATTTGGTCCAAAGTCTGTTTAAAAAAAAACAAAAACATTTAAAAATTGTTATGATAAAGGTGGTGTCCAGAGGGGTTACAGTTACATATGTCAGGTCATGAGTGCATTTCTCTTTTGGACAGTGTCACCCTTCCTCTCGCTCTATCCCAGTTTTAAAGCAAAGTCTTACTGTAGGCTCAAGGAGTGGCTTCAGTGGTAGAGGATTGTCTAGAACCAGCACAATCCCTGGTACCAAAATAAGAAAATTAGCGAAAGTTTCTTGCAGCATAGCCACGCCCACTCATTTACATACCACCCAGCCTTCCCTGCAGCGCAGTTTCTCTGGCCCAAGGCCTGCAAAGCTGAAAATACTTTGAGACTTGAGTGGGGAACTCACTGGCTCCCTTCAGATGGGCAAAGGCTGGAGAAGGGCTTGGGGAAGCCAGGGGAGGGCGCACAGGCCTTTCCTCTGCCTGGAGCTCACATCCCTTTATTTCTTGTCATGGTACTGGGGTCCGAACTCAGGGCCTGGTACTGTCTCTTAGCTTTTCCGCTCAAGGCTGGTGCTCTACCACTTGAGCCACACCTCCACTCCTGGCTAGTTACGCTGGAGATGAGTCTCTTAGACTTTCCTGCCCGGGCTGGCTTGGAACGTGGTCCTCAGCTCTCAGCCTCCTGAGTAGCTAGGAGCACAGGCGGGAGCCACATCTTTTAGTCTGAAGTCTCTTGTAAGAAGTAGACCAGGAAGTACCAAGCAAGATTAGTCTGGGATGAGCAAATGCAGGCATGGTACTCAGTACACGATGTGGAAATGAACCACGCGGCTTGTGTGCAGGGATGGGAAATGGGGAAAACAAAGGAAAGGGTGACAGTGTGCAGAAAGAAATGTACTCATTGCCTGACTAATGAAGGAGAAAACCCTCTGTGCAACACCTTCATAGTAAGAATAAAATTATATGGGAAAAAAGAAACTTGAACATACGGCTGAAAAAAAAAGAAGGGGGAGAAAAATAAAAGTGAAGTTGATTGAGATACATTTTACATATGTGTGAAAATATTACAGTGAAAACCCATTTGTGCAAGTAACATATACCTTTAAAAATACAGAAAGGGCTGGGAAGGTGGCTCAGCGGGTAGAGCGCTTTCCTTGCATGCATGAGGCTCTGGGTTTGATTCCTCAGCACCACATA